CTCAAAATTCTTATTTTGAAACACATTTCAGCCAATGAAGGCAAGACCAGCGACGATCCAAGGACTCAAAATCTGAATAGTTTTTTTCAAGCCCTTTAAAATATTTTTTTCAAAAATGCATTGTTTTCGAGATATTTTAATCTAATTGTAAATTAAAATGGGACACTCTGTACATCTATCTATACGTAAATACAACAGCACTTTCTCTGTCTTGATATATATGAAGTTTAATAATATATACATTTTCAATCTTTTAATATTTTTGAAAAATTAAAAGCATTAATTAAGCTGTAATAATTTTCTCTAATTAATTCAGCTCGAGAAAGCCATTTAATCCTCTAAAATGTCAAATAAAATATAATTATTCTAAGAAAACCTGAATCTTTCTTTCTTCATTAAAATCTCTCAAACAGAAATATTTGCATGTTTTGCAGACAATAAAAATGTCACTAACAATTTCTTTTAAAATTTTAGTGGTGTTCGGCGAGGACGTGGCATTCGGAGGTGTTTTTCGTTGCACGATGGATTTGAAGAAACGTTTCGGCGCCGATCGTGTCTTCAACACACCTTTGTGCGAGCAAGGAATCGCCGGTTTTGGAATCGGCTTGGCCAACGCGGGAATATCGGCGATTGCCGAGATACAATTTGCCGATTACATATTTCCCGCTTTCGATCAGGTGCCGCTATCGTTCATTCAACACATATATGTATATAATAACAGATAGATTGATATAATTATTATTTTGTAACATATCCAGGGTATAAAACATACCTAAGGATTTAAGAAGATTTAACTGTTCGAACAATAAGAAAGTACAAACAAAAGTATAACGACGAAATTCTATTCGCTTAAAAAATGCAGAGAGCGCGGAAACTTTTTTTCCTATAGCTTGAAAACTTTGCGAGCGGATCGTATGAAATAATCGCGGAATGTGTATTTTGTTTCGTCATGCAAATTATTAAAATAGAGTGTATGGATTAATTATCTTCGACTATTAACGAGACCGCGGTGTGTTATACGTTTTCTCTTACAGTTGGTAAACGAAGCGGCCAAGATGAGGTATCGCAGCGGCAGTATGTTCGACTGCGGCAAGCTTACGGTTCGCGCGCCTTGCGGAGCCGTCGGCCACGGCGGTCTTTATCACTCCCAAAGCCCGGAAGCCTACTTCGCACACACTCCCGGTTTGAAGGCTAGTAGAAATGAATTTTTTTCTTCTTGCTTTCATTTGTCATACGTAACACGCAGAGCCGCTCGCTTCCTCTCGGCTTAAAGGCTAAAGTATCTCTCTGTTAATAGCCGAGCGAATAGACAAGTTCCTTATCGAGATAGACGATTTCGCAATAAGGTCGTAAAAGGCCGCGCCTCAGTGTTTGTACGAAATGCCTGACGAGCCGTAGCCACAATGTTGAACAAGGTCTACGCTATTCCACAAACTCGCGTATAACTGTTGATATACGATGACGATTGAATTTCATTTCCAAAAATTGATTGACATGTTTACCCGATTTGATGAGGCCGAGGCGAGCGCTTCGTCACCGAATTTTCGCCATCGGGAACATATTCTTCGGCATTATAACCCTCGTTATACGTATACCTGTACCGCGCCGCAGCCGTGTAGAGCCGTGCAGAGCTCACAACTTTCCTCAACAAATTCCATGAATATTGTACGGCGTATACGATCTACGTATGCATGAAGAAAGTTTTGCCCGCACACCAATGCGCGCGGCGCGCCGCGCTATCGTACATCGCGATTACGAGAGGAGCGACGCGCGGCGCGTAATATCGCCGGCGTTACGCGGAGCCGATCAATTTCACGCTTGTTTCGAGGCTGCCGAGAGGCCACCGATTATCGGAAGGGGGATCGCGAGGGACACGGATTGTGCATTTTTTAACGAGTTTATCCCTCCTCTTCTCTTTCAGATCGTCGTCCCTCGCGGAGCGATGCACGCGAAGGGTCTCCTGCTGAGCTGCATCGACGAGCCGGACCCATGTATCATTTTCGAGCCTAAGACGCTGTATCGCATAGCGGTCGACGACGTACCCGTGGCAGATTACAAGATCGAAATCGGCAAGGCCGAGATTGTAAGGAGCGGTGAGTTCTGAAAAATTGCCTGGATATTTAAGTAATTGACTATTTGGATAGTTTCAATATTGTGTATCGATAATTTGTGTTCGATAC